GCTCGAAGTCAAATGAAGACTTTTGAGCATAGCTGGTACAGATCAAGCCGGCTCAAATTGACCCGCTGCAGACTGCCGTGTTTCGCTGTATGAAAGTCGACAAACGGCTGTCGCAAAACCATGCTGTAACGGCAGGCTAACCGATGGGCTCGACATTTACCTCGGCGGCGTTTTCCCGCCGAGCGTGCTGAACGCTGTCTGTTCGTGGGGAGGCCACCGCGGCCACCGGCGCCACCTTGGCATGACCTCAGACCGCTGCAGTGGCTACGCCACTCCTCAAATCAGCCCGTCACGTGCTCTGCACGCTGCCAGATCATCCGCCATGTTACATCATCACGTAACACAAAATCTCTTGCAACCCGATTTATTCGAAATGATAGGTTACTCAAGATGTAGCGCCAGATAACGTGTCGTGAAAAACAGACATTCCCTCGCCGTATTTGTCTGCTAATGCCGACATCCCTTGATACCAATACCACTTCCCGCTTTCAAGCCCACCTGAGACGATTGTATGTCCATCGGCTTACATAATGCTTAAGGTACTCGCTAACCCCATGTGATGATGTAGAGAAGGAAGTAAATGTACATGAACAGCCGTAGGACGCTGATGGGTGTAGATACTGCTCGCGGTATATCCCTCACGGTTAATGGGTCTACGGTGGCAGCGCACTCTGCAATGCGAAGTGCGCATTTGACTCCTCCAGGAATATCCTGCCAGGTTTTGTATGCCTCCCATCCCCATAGTTGCAGCGTGCAGCCGCAGAGTTGTGCAGCTTGACCTGTCGTAACACTGCCCGGTCCTGTTCAGGGGGGATGGGCCCAGCTGCTGTCTAGAAACCGCTCGGGCGAGAGCGCCTCAACTCGAATCTCGTCATGTCAGACAAGATCTGCACTGGTGACTCGGATGGAGTCTGATGTCTGACGAACGCGGTGCAGACCGATTCTCTTGGTGGGCCTGAAGCAGCCTGGTCTCCGGACGGACCGGAAATAGTCCGGTACCTCTGAGAGGACCTCGGGACACAGTCTGGTACCTCTGAGAGGGCCTCGGGACACAGTTTGGTAGCTCTGAGAGGACCTCGGGACGCAGTTGAGTAGCTATGAAAGGGTCTTAGGACACGGTTTGGTACCTATGAGAGGGCCTCGGCACACAGCTTTTACCTCTGAGAGGGCCTCGGGTCACAGTCGCCCAGCAATTGCCGGCCATTGTGGTCACCGAGTCGTTGTGGTCGCTGTTGGGGGCAGCTGGGGCGTTGGAAAATGTTTAAGTCAAAACTTAACAAATTTTCATTTTTCCATCGAATCAAATTCCTTGCATGATTTATGAATCTTCTATTCATTTTCAGCAGATAGGTGTAACAGCAAACATATTGCATAGCGGCGGAGATATAACCTACGGACTTATTTGTTTGAATTATCCCGTCCCAACACTACGGCTTGAGTACCGCCGTATTTGAACGGACTACCATGCGTCACCAAACCATATAAACTCAATTACTTATATAACATCCATGCATACAATAGCAGCAGTTTTCCAATGCACATGCAATCCCATGCATGTATGCATGGATGGATGTATGATGTAGGGTGTATGCAATGCCATGCATACAATCTCAGTACAACATATATTGCATAGGTTCACTCAGCAGGTACATCGCTTTTTAGATCCTGAACAGTTCAACCTACCCGCCCAACACAAAGGGAAACTCGCTCTGAGAAAGGGTTACACCAAACTGTGCCGTCGGACGGCTGCGGGGCGTCCTCGTTCGTCGATTTCACCGCTTTTTAATCCCTACAAAACCTGTTCGGGAATGACGCAAGAAGCGGCCACATAACTCGCCACCTGTCCATGCTTAAATGTCAAAGGTTCAGCGAGCTGCGCGCTCCGCTGCAATGCGGACGCCACGCGTGGCTGAGCTGCGGCGCAGTGGCGTTGTCCCGGAGGTCGAGTGGGACGGCAAGCTATTCTCCGGTTAACCGTTCAACGGCTGTTCTGGACTGCACACGCCCCACGGACTCGTCTTGCATCACGATCCGCGCGAGGTGTGCCATCTTTTGCGATACTGCTTGTGTGTGTAGCAGTGCTGCTCGTGTGGTGTAGCAGTGCTACTTGTGTGGTGTAGCAGTAAACCCCGACCGTCAGCAGGGCGCCGCACTGCGCACGGCTCCTCGAAATGCGCCCGATCATCCGCTCTAGTCGGCGACGTCTCGAGATAGCATAGAGCGATGCTGTAGTCGTGACAACGGCTTATAAACAACAATTTCATCCCACGGCCGTGCTGAGCCTGCTCAGGCCTTTCCGTCTGAAGCCAAAGACGACCCAGTCGGGAGAGCGCTTGAATTCCACGCAACAGGCCCGGGTTCGACATGCTGCTGACGTTATATTCTCTGGACCAAGTGACCTCTGCAGTCGCTAGCGTTCGTCATAGGACCGCGACGGCGTACGACGGGCGGCCTTTGGAAGCAGGAGAAGGTCTGTTGGACGCACACAGGAGTTGGCCTGGCTGTGAGAGAATACGCTAGCTGTTCCTCATAGCCGGTGGCTGACTCGCATCGACAGTCAACAGCGCTCACACATGTGTAACGAATCATGGTCGCGGTATCGGCGTCCTCACAGCAGAGCTGGCAGGTTGACATTGCCCCTTCGGCCTCAATCTGTACCTCGGTATTCGATAATTTCCCCTCTGAGTGACCTTTCAGAGGCAGTGACCACTGTAATGCCTGCCGGCTGGTCGTCGACGCTAGCAGCTAATACGCTTCTCGGATGCGCCCCCGGCCGTTACAGCGTCGTGCTGCATCGGCCAATCTGCCCGCGGTTTGCCGTGCCGCTAAGCTGCCCTGGAGGGCCGCTGCAAAAGTCGTAGTGGTTTCCTGGTTTGTCCGAGCAGTGTTTCATTTGTGTTGTTTATTTTACCGGGGTCGGCGGAGCCGGCGGTGGGGGGGGGGGGGGGGGGGGGCAAGGGGAGGGGCAAGGAACCGGTCCCCATGCTCGGTATGGCTGTAGTAGACCCTGCGGGCCGCATTGCTTCGTCAGTGACGTCACGTTCGCCGCATGTGCCCTGAAGAGCGCTCATGCCATCAGAGCGTACGATGTGGCGGAAGACGGCCATCGTTTGAAGCGAGTGCCCCTGTACACAGATGCGATCGCATCGGTTGCATTGGTTGCATCGGTTGCATTGGTTGCATCGTCGCGATCACCGACGTCAGGCGTGATGACGTCAGTCACCAACAAAGCTCAGGCCCCCGTCCATGAATTACGTAACAGGACGGGCGGGACAAAGCCACCGATAGCCAGGGACGATAACATGGAGGAAAAATGTGATGTAAAAGCACTGGCGTCTTGCGCAATGCCCCGCATTCTCAGACTTGACCGTACCCACACCTGGCATTGTGACACAGCTATGCGACATACATTTGAACACCTACGACGTAGACACTCAGCCGGTTGAGGCTGGGTTGAGTCGGTTGATGCTATGGCTAACATTCATGACTCCAGGAGCATACCACAGTGGGGATGCCCGTGGAGCTATGCCCTGTGCATACAAATAACCGATGGAGTGCATCGATGGTATAGACTTCGTCATCGGTGGAAAATGTGGTGTGACAGGTTTGTCAGCAGCCATACAACTTTCACTAAAATGGACATAATTCTATCATTTCCCGACGGAAGGCTATCTGCTCTGTCCGCTTCGTCCTGCGTCCGCAACGTGCTAGGCCAGGCGGCTCATAATACATTTGAACTTCCAAACCTCGCGGATGTTGACCAATAGACGAAAGCAACGTAAACATAAATAAAGTATAAAACGTTTACCCACCGAAGTTACGTTATGGTTATATAATGATTGGTGGAATTTTGGGTACAGTTCACGGTATTCCTACAACCTTGGGGTCTCCAACAAGGTCTGTGCTCAATGAGTAATGCCTCAAAGTTTACCTTGCTTTACATGCTGTCCTTGACGGTGTCAGTGGATGGTGTGAGGCAAGAAATTGCGTCAGACCTAAAGAGTTGCCAGTTTTGCGGTAAACTGACGATTTCAGCGAGCAGCTGACCTAAATAGAATTGCAGACTTGCGGCACCTAACCCATCCTGACCTGCTGCATCTATCCCCCCCCCCCCCCCCCCAGTTCATGAGGGTAAGACAAGTGGGACCAGCTTGGTGTCATTATGTCATCAGGCACAACTCTGCCCCGAACTCAGCATAGTTCACGCGCCTGTATCGTGCATGCATCGGTTTTACGTTCTAGCAAACATCACTCAGTTTGCTATCTTCAACATTTAACACAGATAGCATTTCACAAATGGGACACACATGCTACGACACTGAACATCGCTGGCATGCATAGTTTTAAAATCACGTTTGCTGCCATTTCATTGGCGGCGGGCAGTAGCCGCTGGCCAAATACCGCTCTAACCTTGGACTGGGCCCGCGTTGACCTCGGCTATTTCCGGTGGCGCAACGCGCCCGACAGCACGCATGGATCAACTTAGTTCAAACGTGCCTGCAGCGCCGTCGCTAGTCCCGGTCGGAATGCCCCCAGTGTGAGTCACGTGCTGCACGGGATCGTGCGAGGGCCCATCCAACTCGGCGTGGGCAGACTCTGCAAGGTCAAATAGTATTCTTTGGCGCCACATTCTATTCTGTGATGCACCGATGGTATAGACTTCTTCATTCGCCGCAACTTAACCCGGCCCCGCGTTTCTTCGGGTTTGGTTGCGCCTGCTCTGGCGGATCAGTTTGGCTCTGCTGCCGTCGGCTATTCTGACATTAGCGTTGCGGGTCACGATCTTAGTCGCCTCAATCCTCCCGTGAATCAGGGGGTGCCCGTGATGACTGCGCAGCTCTCCCATCCTCTCGAAGCTGCGCACGGCCGCCTGCCCGCCGTTATATCACCGGGCAGTGACATCACGCAATGACGTCAGCGCCCGGTGTGTGACGTCACGCGTGAGCCGAGGAAACGTGAGTTGGCCGGCGGCGGCGGCAGTTCAATACGCCGACTGGGGAGAGTCGCACGTGCGAGGCTGCAGCTGCGTCCAGGAGCGGTCCAGAGGGCAGTGCACCCGGCGAGCGCAGCGCGCGACCCGACCTGACGCCAGTACCTGGCCTGGGTGGAGAGACAGCGCTAGGTAAGCGGCAGCTCCGCGCCCCCGGGTCGGTTGTGGGCGCGCTCGCGGACAGTGTAGGGCATCGATCGGCCCTACAAAGACTCCGCTGAGACCTGACTGTTCCGATGGTGCGTCGTGCTCTCCCGGGCGGGGCTTCCGCGACTCCTGGGCACACGGGCTCGAGCTTAATGGATGATTGCTCTCGCTGGCGTGCGGCGTGCGCGGTACATGTCCGTTGCAGGTGCGGATCGTTTTTGACACCGGTATTTACCCAAAGACACTTCACGTGCCGGAAAAGTTGGATCAACTGAATTTGCGGTTGTTTAGCTGTTTCGAGAGAAGTTACCTCGAAACAGATTGACAATGTCGATTTCAATACGCACGCTTTCACGTCATCGCGTTGAGTAATGTGGGGGTACATGCAATGGACAGATGTTGTCTCATGAATGTTTGGGACGTGATAACGAGCGACTCATTTGTAATTCCCGCATCGAACAGTGGGCTGGGACATTGCTGGCCATGCACCACAAATTAGGCGTGGTTTTGGCAATTGATCTTACATGCTTGGTGGAAGAGACAAACATCCCCGACCATCTTAGTCGGAATTCTGAACGAATCAGGCTTTCGGTGCATATTCGTGCAAATTTTTAGGTTTCCCACATTCGCGTAACAACATTACAGATTGATACGGTAATAGCCGTGGAGAAACCAGCCGGTCAAAACAGTGCTGCATCAGTTTCGTGCATCTCCGATCGTCTATTTGGTGTTTTTCGAGCTTTCTTTGGAGGTGGATCTGTGGAAACGTGAACGTGGATGTGGGACCGCACGACCTATGTCCATCGTCTGCTTAGATCGGTTGAAGATTTGGGGGACACGCTGGCGTGTCTGCCGAGACACCGGCGCTAAATGAAAAAAAAAATCGCAATTGGAATGACGGCCAGGAAGGTTTCGGCTTTTTACAATGATGGTTAGCTTTTAACCCCATCACCCCGTGGCGGCTTCGCTTCCAGGGGTCCTGCAGGCTCCTGGCCACAGATTCTAAACATCGGTACCTGCACCTTGATGACAGTCTTAGCACCTGTTGTTAGATCACAGGCTGGAAGAATGGACCATGACCATTCGTTTAATATTTTGTTTTGCCAGTGAATCCAGTGAGCATCAAATTCTCATATATGAATATTTTTGCCCTTCTCATCTCTTTGGTGACACATTTTTTAGATCTGACGTTTTGGGTCTGCGCGATAGGGGCACCGATACCGAAACCCTGGGTGTTACATAGTAGTGTGACGAAGCATGTTTGTCAACGCTTTTCACGTCTGTTAGGCAAGACACTGGTTGCGAAGGAAGTGTTTGAAGTTTGGGGCTCTTCTCATCGGGCCACAAATTCTTGTCGGATCCAATCCGTTTAGGCCCTTTTCAAAACGATCACCTTTGTTGTACATCCTCGTGACTTCCGATATCCCTTCTCTCCTTTTTTGGAACAGGTTTTCCCGTTACGAGCTTAATGTGGATACCTGAACCCAGGTTGTTATCTGGGTTTCTGAACAGACATAAGCTGACTTGTATGCTATTCATGGCAAGAGGCAACGCTTCTCCAATCCCGCTTTCATTGAACAAAATGTTAAAGCATCGATCTCGGCCAACTCGAGAATGGAGAACAAAAGTTTGAAACTTGCTTCTGAATATAGTCCTCATGGCGGCGGGGACCCCAGGCAACACGTGCTTGACATTTCGATGCTCGTTGTCAAGTTTGGAAGGTTGTCGGATACGGGAAGTTCAGGCACATGCCGCGGAAATGGAGACACCGAGTCCTTGGCGGGGCAGCGGGCAGCCCGGGGAGGCGAGGGCGACGCGGAAAGGTTCTCGGACGCCGCATGACGCAACCGCTTGAGTGCCGTTCCGAGCGCCGACCGAAGCTTGTGCAATCAGCTGACGTCAGCGGCCTGCGACGCTTTGTGGGGAGGGTCCTGCAAGGGTGCCGGGCGCGGCGCGCGGGGAGAGCGACGGAGGGCGACCGGGAGCGACGCAGCGACGCAGCGACGCCTCAGGGGCGCTCCGTGCGGCCGGCCGGCGGCCGGCTCGTCGCAGGTGCCGGGCGGCCTCCGCTTGGATTACGTCTATTTTGAAACGCTGATGCAATATGTAAGACCCAGCGCAGTGACTCATGCACGGTTCGGCTGGGAGGCCGCCTCTGGTCGCATTGCATCAACGCGTTGCGAGCGGCGGGTTTGGGCTGAGCCCCGCTCGGGTCTGACGCGAGGACCGGTCCGGACTGGTGTGTGGACAGAGGCCGGAAGGGATTGTTGGGCCGAGGCCTGCGCCTGACGATGAGAGACACGCTGGGGTGCAGCTGCTGCAAGCGTGCACGGCTCGCGGCACTGGCCCCACCTGTGCAGACGTAAACCTTGATCCCTTCCGTGCTATATTATTCATGCAGCTACGGCCAAGTCAGCGGCCCAGCTCTTTAGGAGCTTGCACTGCTGTGGCTGCTTACTCTGCACGCCAGCCGAAGAGCACAAGTTCCTTGGCACCCGTTGCTCTGCTGCCCAATTGCACACATTGCATTGCAGCCGCGCGGTGTGCTCCTCTGCAGCCCTTGAACGCGTCTTGGCGATGCTGGTTGAGTACGGCGCGTACAGCAGCGCGGTACCTCGGCGGGCTCGCCGCTGAGGCCTCGCTGGCGCAGCGCGGCGTCCCGGCGGCGCGGACGGCGGGTCGCCGACCGGCGCGTTTCCCCGGCCCACTTGCCTAGGGCGGCGTCGCGTCGGCCCACTGACCGCCGTCGCCCTCTCGCGCGGCGCTCTCGGCTGTGACCAGTGTAACACTTGCGACGCGCCATCACGGCGCCGTGGCCGGTGGAAAGCGTTCAGACTACTTCTGCACGGCTGGACTGGATGCGACCACGTCAGCTGGGCCAGCCGCCGCCGAGCCAACAGGTGTTGCGCGCCGGCCCCGCCCGCCGCGCGCGGAGAAACGCTCGCCCCGGCTGTCTGCCCTCGATGGAGCCGGGCCGCTGTGGAGCCGCGGTCACCCACTGTCACGTCGACCTTTCCAGGTGCCCACGGGCATATTATCGGCGTGGAGGAAGCCGTTGGCATATCGCTGCGGATCGTTCCTGCTCGGCGCCCAACCGCCCCCGACCGGGACGTGTGTCAACAGACCCCCTCCCCTGGCCCTGCCTCGGCCGACGGGGGCCTGGCAGCCGCTGGCGGGCTTGACTCAGGCCGCTGGCAGGCCGGCCGTGTTGCATCACTACCGCGTGGATGGCAAGCCAACTGACTCACTGCCGCCGGCGTCGTATTTCGGGTAGCCTCCGGCACTGTCCGCGAACGCTCCCGGCCGCGGCGAGCACGCCCGCTGGCCTCGGATCAGAGGTCGCGCCGTGCTCCCGGCGCTGGCCCCTGACCGCCGCCCCCACCGTTGCCATGAGGAGGGCAACGGTTCTGGCCCGGATGGTGAGTCAGGTGTTTGCGCGCGCGCCACGTGCGCAGTCCGACCTTTCACTGCGCTCGCCTGACCCCTGCTGCCGCGGTGTCCCGATTGATCCCCGGACAACTGCGGACGCTGCCGGCCGCCCCCCACAGGCGGCGCGAGCGGCCCCGGCCTGCGGCCGCGTGGGCGTCGGAAGCTGCGTCCAGCAGACCCACTCTGCCCTGCGCCTCCGGCCGCCGCTCCGTGTATCCGGATTTTGTGCTCGCTGCGCCTGCGGCGCGTCTCGCGTGCGACGGCGGGAGTCATCCGAGATGCCGGTAGGCGGCGCCGACACTGAGACGCCGACGACGCTCGGTTACGCAATGGGTAGCGGCAATCAATAACACCGCCGAGCCGGCCACGTGAGCGCTCGGCACGTGCGGCGATGCATGGGCGCGGCTTCCGACGCCGCACGTGCAGTGGCAAGACGGTATGAGCCGCTGCTAAACGTCGTTGGCGATGTCTGGGCGCCCGATTAGCAGGCCTAGGGATTCGGCTGCCATTGATGCACACGGCAGGGGACATGTGGAACATCCGAGGAGTGGGGGCGAGCCCCACTCGGACTGAGGACTTGCCGCCGCACCTGTGGCACATAATAGACATGTGTGGCCCTATAATGTCGATACACCACACCCCTGTGTGGAAGTCTCACTCATGACGAGTGATGGTTACAATATACACGGCTTGTTCGTTGTAATTGAATGCGGGGTTCTGGCGCATAACCTGCTGTGCATGCTGTTTTGCCACTTCTATGGGTTGCGTTATGCCGTCATGGTACCTTTAAATTTGTGGTACTGTCAATCTGGTACGAAGGAACATGTCTTAAGGTAGGAGGATTGAGCCATGTTTTCTCTATGCATCAGCATGGGTTTATGGCAAACAACCGATGTTAGTTGACGCCATCGCACAAAAGTGGGTTGGCTGTACCCAATCATACCCCCTTGTATCCCCTTGTACCCCATGTACCCCCTTACCTGTAGGCGCGGCGACTGAAGCGAGGATGGGACATGCAAAATCTCGTGAGAAAACTCTACCGGTTCCCCAATTCCTATTTTTTCTGGGATTTTCACCAAAAGATTGCAAGATTTTACATGGCACAGTTTTCCATTTTGTGAATCTTTACTCCTATATCATTGTTATAAACAAGACAAAAGCGGTCGTGGATTCAAGTGCATTGCAATCGGTCCCGCCTGTTCCCCAGGTCGCCTTTTTTGTGCGCACCAGCATGTGAAACAGCAAACAGCGCTGGGCGTGTTCGCGACTGTGTTGTCACGTAGATTTTCGAACTTAGTCTGGTGGCGCTGGCGATAGGCTCGCCGCCGTTTCGGTCGCACATCAGCTCCAGGCCCCGTGACACAACCCAGCGCACCGCCTCCGGCCCAGCGCCTACCTCAAAGTGTGGTGCGCCGGATTCCTCGAGGCGAGTGGCGCGCCATTGCTTCCGGCGGCTCGCTCCGAGGCGCGAGCTGCTCACTGCAGCGGAGCGCCTCGCCATCGGCACGGGAACCGCCCCGGCGTGCGCCGTGCGGCCGGGGGTGGGCTGCGGCGAGGCCGCCAGCTCGTCCCGGGCTTCCGCCGCCGTGCAGCAGGATAGTGGCTCGCGTCAAGGCCGCGTTACCTCACCGGGCGCGGCGCTGCGCGGCTATTTCTGACGCAAGCCGCGCGGCGGGGGAGGGGGAGGGGCGACCATGGGCGCCGCCGGGCAGGGCTGTTGCTGGGACAGGGACGGGGAGGGGGGGGGGGGGGCAGCAGCTCGTCTGTCTCAGTGAGGGGGCGGGGTCGGAGTTCCGGTGTTTGCACGATGCGGTGCCGTTGAGGAGAGCGTACGGACCGGCGCCCGAGCCGGCCGGCCGGCCTGGTACGGGACCCGGCGTGGGATGGCGCTCGCCCGCCGTCCTCCAGCACTCCAACACGGACCAGCGCCGTGGTCGGCTGCAGCAGCTGCTCGCGGGCCCGTCGAGCGTGGTGCAACGCGTTCAGCAGCGGCGGTTACCTCGTTCGTGCGGCGATATCTGCGCTATATCGGCGACCTGTGGACAAAAATGCCACCGCGGGGCCCGCATCCGAAGCGGGGCCGGGTTCGGTCGACCTTCCTCACGCCGCGCGGCGGTGGTGACGCGGCCGCCGTGGCGACTGCTTGAGGTGACTACGGTGCTGCGGAGGCGAACACGGAGGCTGCCGGTGGCCTGGCTGTGGCCTGACTGTGGTGTGGCTGGACGGTGGCCGGACGGTGGCCTTGACTGGCCTGACGGTGGCCTGACGGTGGCCTGACTTTGTGGCCTGACGGTGCCTGGCGCCGGCTGACAGCGTGTCGCCTCACCCCTGATTCATGTGGCGCCACTCCGCTCTCTCTCGCACGCCGCTGATTCACCCACGCTGGCGGCGCGGCGGCTGCGGCTGTGCCGCTGAGTCAGCCGGCGGCTCGCTGACTGGCCTCATCCGGAGCTGACTCAGGTCAGCGGCCGGCGGCCGACGACGCTCGCCGGTGACCGGACTCACGTGTGCCGGCACGTGACCGGCGGCGACCGAGCTTATTGGATTCTGAGGAGTGAGAATGCATGCCACGACGCCCGTTCACGTGTGTTGGTCGCGGGACCCGTTGCATGTCGTGTCCATGTGTTGTTTAATCTAATGTGTCGAGCAGTTTCTGTGTAAGAAATGACGACGGGTGGAAATTGGAAAAGAAACGAGTTGCTACGGTGGTGCCAGTATAATCAAATTTCAAGCTTCCGCCGTTGGACAAGTTGGTCTTGGTTGCCGTGAGGATAAGCGATTCCGCCCGGTGCACTTACCAATCCAAACTCCATTCACGTGCGGTAACACGTGGCCTCACTTTTGTACTTGGCGTTCTGTCTAGCAGCGCAAGTGGTGAAACTTCGCACGGGGGCTGGCGCCGATGATAGCACATCGCTCAATGATGGCGGTCGATACCGGTGCGGACAGATATCCAGACCCGATTGAGGCGGCTGAGGCGTGGCCGCTCTCTGGCACGGACACACGGGCACGCCGTCGTAAATTTGGAACCGTCCCCGACGTGATCGGCGCCGGCGTTCGATGTGATTGCGTGCGGACATCACCGGAAGTGGGAGCGGTGCCGTCGCGTGAATCTGGCGCCCTCGCCCCGACCCGTGCCGCGCATCTGTGGCGCGCCGCGCGCCAGAACAGCTGGCCACTGTCGGCCGTCGGCGGCGATGCGTCGGTATCGACGTGGCACGTGATCTCGCCGCACGCTCGGCCGAGCGGCGCGTCGAAATAGTAAAACAATGAAATGTTGCTGGCTCCGGTCGATCCGAGCCGACTTCGGCCGGCGCCGCGAGGCCGCCCCACGCCGGATCCTGTTGCCGTCGGCTGGGCCCATTGGGGTCAGGGCGGGGGCGTGCTGGGGCTCATAGGTCAGCATGGCTATACCCTGGCTTTGGAGACTGGTAATATGATAGCGCTTGACGGGCGGAACTCTGACTCGCAATATGAACTTACTGGATGTCAGGGGATAATTTCTCCTCCATTCAATTGGGGCGCAATCATTCCCGTTTTTTGAGAAGGAAGTGGGTCAAATCGGGGCTAAAAATGTGTTTTGGCGTATCTGGCGGGGGGGGGGGGGGGGTGTTAGGTTTGGCCCTTTTTCACTGTTGAGCCCTTAGCTTATGTATTTCGTGCAATTACTCTGCTGCTTGATGCCGTCCTAACTGAACACGTTTATTCCTTACGGTTCGACTGCACAGCGATCTCCGTTATGTATACTCGGATTAGCAGAGGCTGACCTATCTGTTACCAGAGCATGCCTTGTACATGATCAGAGTGCACAGTCGGCTGCACAGGCACTTTCATGTGATTTTTGTGCTCGATGGGATTACACCGGGGCTGACAGCGCAGATAAGCCACGGCCGCCGAAACTGGGTCAAGCCTCGCCGGTGGCCGCGTTACCGTGTGCTGCCGCACAGGTTTGGCCGAAGCGTCAGTCGCGTGCGAGTGGCGGCGGCGCGGGCGGCCCTTGTATCGCAGTTGTGGCCAATCACAGTGCGATGCACGCCGCCCTTGGTGCGGAGATGCACGCCAATGTTTTCGGAAGTGCAGGAACAGTTCGATCTCTGATCGAGGGTAGTTATGCTCGTTTTAGTGGCCACAAAGCATGCTTTGCTCTACCCACTCCCGTTAGGCAGCAGTTTCGTTGAATGCCCACGATTCGCGTTAGAGACGGGGAGCGGAGATCAAGGCTTGTGAGGACTGGAACGGCATGGCGGGTTGGTGTTCGTGAGAATTGCTCTGCCTCCCCTCCCCCTCTCCCCTCCCCATTCCGTCCCGTCTGGCGAAGCCCTGTTACACCGCCGCGGCGTGTTGACGGAGCAATGATTAAAATCATGGGGCTGTCCCACCTCTGGACACGGTCAGAAAATTCACTGAAATAAACGACTGGGTTTAACAGCTCTTTGTATATGATAAGTTCGAAATACCCGCCGCCATTGCATGGAAGTATTTTATTTTCGACTTCATAGCCTGGTCACAGCTGCGCAGACACTATGAGCAATACTAGGTGATAGTGACTTCGTAACAACAACAATATTTGTCATGAACTGTCATCGCCATTTACCACAATCCTCAAAACAACTTGAAGGCATTTACCACAAGCCGTACGTACCTGTATACCTGCTGAAAGGTGGTTTGGCAACAACAATCGTGGCGGCCCCGTGAGTGTCCATCTCAACAATTCCCCCATTCGCCGCATGGAAGCGCTGACTTTTGCGAAGCGTCTTCATTAAGGCGCTAATCCCCGGTTCATAATGTCACAGCCGGTGAGGCGGTGATAGATTGGGTAATATAAAGATGATAAAGGGCTGCTTTTTATGATCAGATCTAACAAACTATCATGCTATTTTCTAGTAGAAGACTTTTGATGACACTTTGGCCGGAGTTCGTTAATATGTTGGACGTGAGTAAAAGCTGTCAACTAAATGAAACTTTTTGATAGTGATGTATGCCTAGGAGTGTAGTCTGCGGAGGTGGGAAAAATTGCAGTTCAGGTGACCTGAATCATTTTTAGATTTTCGGAACAAATTTTCGGAACAGGAACGTCGCGTGCAAATTCCGAGACATCCACCTAGCGACGTACGTGTGCAGCCAAAGTTGACGAAAGGGGTAGGAACGATGCAATGAGTCGAGTCAGCAGTCACTCAATCATCACGTCCCCCCTCCCCCTCCCCCCCCGGAACTTATCGCTGACCCCTATACATAAAACTACACCGATGCCGGCCTCCGCGCAGTCATACACCACCAGGCCACAAAGAGCTGGCTGGGCGCCGGTCGGCCGGGGGATGACGCAATCGAGCAGATGCCACCAGCCCCTGCCGCAACGTGGCCCTGAAACGCCAGCCACCGGCGCGGCGCGGCGCGGCGCGGCGCGGCCGCTCCCTGCACGGCCGGCTGCTCCGTTCACACGCGCGCGCCTGCAGCGCGCTGGACCGTCCGGTGCCGGCCGACCGGTCCGCGTCAGCGGCCAGCTGCAGGCATTGACGTCAATCGGTGCAACGCCGCCCGGCGCTGGGCTTTTTGCAGACGAGCCTGTTTATAAAAACGCGAACATTTTGGGCGGCGGGCGGCGGCGAGCCGGTTCCTGGCGGGCTGCAGGCAGCGACATTCCTTCCGCCGGCTGCGGCGGCCGTGGGCATATGGTGCCAAAGTGCTTGGGCGGTTTCTGTGTCGGCTGTGACACGTGACAGACGGCTGACGTTGGCGCCCTCTTCCGCAGGCGATCCGCGCATCATGGTGGCTGAGACGCTGCTGAGCTCGGTGCAGTTCGCCGGCCTCAAGTCGCGCTTCAACTCGATGTCGACCGGCTACTTCAACTACCCGCCAGGCAGTGGGCCGGCGGCGCGGCCGGCGGGCGGCGGCGCGCCTCTGGGCGGCCTGCCCGAGCCCTACCCCGTCTCGCCGCTCGAGCTGCCCACGTCGCTGCAGTGCGACATGTTCAACCAGCGCAAGCAACGCGAGTTCATCCCTGACAACAAGAAGGACGAGAGCTACTGGGACCGCCGGCGACGCAACAATGAGGCGGCGAAGAGGAGCCGAGAGAAGCGCCGGCTCACCGACATGGTGCTGGAGTCGCGCGTGTTCGAGCTCACCAAGGAGAACTACCTGATGCGCGCCCAGCTGTCCGCCATCCGCGACAAGTTCGGCATCGTCGGTGAGAACCTCATCAACCACGAGCAGGTGCTGGCGCAGCTGCCAGCTATGGACCAGATCCTCAACTTCACCAAGCGGCACAAGCCGATGGCCGGCGCGCACATGCTGCCGCTAGCCGCCGGCGGCGTGACGTTCCCCGTGAGCGCGGCGCCGCCGCCCCCACCACCGCCGCCGCCGCCGCCGGCCGGTGCCGCGCCCGCGTACCGGCAGACGTCGCCGCCGCCGCCGCCGCCGCCCGCCGGCCTCCTGTTCCGGCAGCAGTCACTGCGCGAGGTGCGCATGTCGGAGGAGGAAGAGGCACGCGACTACTCGCGGCCGCGCTCGGCCGAGCCGCAGCGCGCGCCGCCGCCACCGCTGCACCCCCTGGCGGCCGTTAACCTGAGCAAGCCGGCGGCGCGGCCGGCAGCCTCGCCGGAGGCCTCGGCGCTGCCGCTCAAGCTGCGCCACAAGACGCTGATGTGCGAGCGCGAGACGGCCGCCGCCAACCTGCTGGTGCTCAACCAGTTGAAGGAGGAGCCGCAGGACTCGCCCGGCTCGGACGCCTCGTCGGGGGACGAGCGCGACTCGGGCCTCTCGGACCGGTCGGCTTCGAGCGATGGCGCTGACGAGCCGTCGCGCAAGCGGCCGCGCTCAGGATGCCGGCGGCTCGCCGCCCCCGTCCGCCCCCACCCCCGCCGCCGCCTCCGCCTCCGTCCCCGCCGGCCCGGCCAACGGACAGATCCGCAGCGAGCTGGAGCGGCTGGCGAAGGAGGTAGCGTCGCTGAAGTGTCTGCTGAACCACCGGGAGACCAGCCCGCCGCCCGGTGAGGGCGAGGCCAGTGCCTGAGCGTTTGGCGCTGGTGCTCTTCCCCGGCCCGTCCCCGCCTCGTTTCTTTGTGAACGTCCTACCCGCGTGACGTGCGATACGGATGTGGATGCTGATGCTGTTCACACAGCAGCGCGTATGCTCAGAGCAGGCTGCTTCTGCTTTAACGGACGTCGTCATCATCCCGTCTGCCTGCGATGACGTTGTCACATTCCTCCCTCTGCCGGTGCCGAAACGTCACGCAAGATGACGGCCATGTGGCGCAGACCAACTGCATCCCCACCAAGCAGTTTGTCGCTAGCCTGAAGCGTTCGTTGATCAGCCGGAACCGGCTGTTTCATTGCTCTGGCGCGTGATGATCGGCAGCGGCGCCCTCCATTGAGAGGAAGGGGCCTGTGGCTCGGCTGGTGCTATTTCTCCCCTATCCGAGTGTGTTGTGCGGCAGAAATGCTTTGATGTGTTGTTAAATTTTACCGAGTGTCAACGGCGCGTACTGTTCCTGCGACAACCTGCGTGATACGGAAAACTTGGTCGGCTGATCCTCATGGCGCATGTATCTTTACAAGTTCAAATACCCGGTGAAGTGAGGTTCTTTGTTAATCGGTATGACTTCTGACGCAGATGCTATTTGTGTTGTATTTTTTGTTTTGCGCCAGAGGCGTTTGTTGGTGTATAGGTCGTGCCATGCGTTGGCAGGATACGAATTTATTTGTTTTGTACTGAGTGTTGTAGATATTTATTCATTACACAACAGATGTGAAAACAGTCTTTTACGAGAGGAAACGTCTGGTATTGGCTTGAACAAGAGTGAACGAAAACAAAACGAACAGAAGCCAACGGTAGATGTCTCGCTTGCCATGCTGCCAATGGTAGTCGCGGCCCAGACACGGAACACAGAGCAGTCCAACCCGCCAGAACCACTTCTTTATGACTTGGCCCAGCAGCTTGCAGAGAGGAAAGAGATTTGGAGCACTGACAGAAGTCAGGAGGCAGTGAACTTAGCCCGTAAACCGAATCCCAGCACGAAACATTAGCGTGAAAATCGCGTGAGTTTGAGATTGCCAGGCTTACAGGGATTCGAAGGATTGTTTTGTGATTCTTGCCTGCCGCCTGACTGCTGCACCTAGAGCACACCCATCTTTTGACACCCATAATGCTAAAATTAACATACTTGGTCGTCGTGTGAATGCAAGTCTTGATACCAGGAATTCGCTAGTCCCTGAATTGGTTGCAATGGTACGACCAGCAGCTTTATCGATAATATTCGTATTACAAACGGTCCTGAAGCTCATGTCAGACGCTGCCATTCGTAAAAGCGTGAAGTTAAGTCACAGTCTTGACCTGCATATTCTTTGTTTTCCCTATTTCTACAATTTCCAATCCACTATCACGAGAAAAGGCTGGAATGATGTAGACCACACTAACGGCTGGCACGGGCATTCGTCAAAACCGTTAAAACGATGTGCGGCAAGCACTGGCATAGCAGGCTGGCATTACGTCTCTTTCCACTCCTGCCTGATTCTGTCAAAGCACTGGTAGCGGCTTCGAGGGCCCGGTTTGCATTGACCCTCTGACACCTTGGGAGCTAGAGCCACCGCTGTTCGTCTGGTTACAGAAGCTGCCGCTAAGCACCGGGGGACCGACGTCGTGGTCTACCGGCGAACGCTGCTCCTCACACTTTCCAGCACAGAATGTGACGCAGGCTCGAGTTCGACTATTGACCTGCCGTGATTTCAACACGCAACTGACGCAATCATCCGCTAGTCTTTGTTTGGTGGACTGGTCAGGCGCAGCTTTAGCATACGTCCCAAACGGGTGAGGCGGAACTATGGACGAGACATCCCGTGGAGTGGCAGGACCCAGCTGGGACCTGGTTGGGTTTGTCATACCGCTGTGCGATAGAGTCAGGCCCTGTTTTTTTATATTATTCGGAAGTACTTCCGACCATTCGAAGTATACTTTGCATCGTGGGTAATCTTGAATCGTGCAACCCCAGTGCGTCTTGAACTTCTTAGCACTTCGTGTGATGAGCGACCGACGAGGGAGAATGTCACATGCGACGCTTTATCACATTATAATGTAAACAAAAAGTGACACTGCCGCATCCTATTGAGTTATTCATTATGACCAAAACCGATTAAGATGGCACATATTGTATCACTGCGTCCTTACAATATGGGCGGAAGAACATCTAAAAAAGAGGGAGAACCAAACTCTGAAGTCAGCTGTTTTGGAGTCAACTGTTCAAATGCATTTCCTTGAGGTTTCATAAGCCTACACAAGCGCACCGGCGCCGGCGTTGGGTGTAGCGGAGAGCCGAATTTGGCGCATGACTCAACCGTGGCCTTCATTCAGGCCAGGACATCGAGGACAAGACGGACATCTTCGCCTACAGTCTATGAAGAAAGTGGCTATCTGTGCTCCAGTTTTTGACCGGATGTGTTTTTTCATGGATACAGTGTCTTTTGTGCTGGACCTTTGTAACTGAATGCGATCGAGCCGAAGCGTCAAAAATTATGAAGAAAAAACCGTGACAAAGGGCCTGGCGCGGTCAGCAGGGCGGTTCGACAAACTGTCTCCAATCACATACCGTGGGAACGATTCTACCTGATCAGTCCCGCCCCACGCAGCAAAAAGCATGCCTGAAAAGCGTGGATTTTTGGTCATCCGTGTCGCCACGTAGACGAACTACCGCTCATACTTGCATTGTGCATCTTTGTGGATCAGCGACCACGTGGCTATGTTTGCACTAATCGCGATGAAAGTGTGAGCAGGGCTCCTTGAAGCAAGGATGGAATAAAACCCACGGCCTCTTGGAACGAGGGGATAAGCGGACAGGAATTTAAGGATACACGGTAGGGAATATGACTTACGGGAGGCTAGGGAAGAGCGGCCGGTCGTGGCAGCCCCTCGGTGCCAGCTTCATAAATTGTATGAATTATAGAAGAAGGGATACGGTAGGGGGGAAAAGTACAAAATGTGAAACATTATTGGCGCGATGAATAAGGAGATGGGACTCGTTTTGTGTCGCATGGTCCCGTTTTGTCTTGTATGGTCCCGCTTTGTTTTATATGGTTCCGTTTTGTTTCGTATGGTCCCGTTTCACCTATGCGCACTCATGTGTTTCTGTCAGGATCTTTACAGCGAAACGTGTTTAGGCACGAATTTAGGTACGAATATACATACGTTTTAGGCATGAATTTCTCGGTAAATTTCTCCAGCATTGTGCTCCATGATTTACAAGTAGCAAAATCACTGCACTAAAAATCTTCTAAACACCCAGCCTGCCGTCAGAAATTGCTTTTTGATGTAGCCGCCTCAGACCTAAACACATGCATTCGCTTTATGCACTCAGACGTCGGAATTAAGCGAGTCCAAGACATACACACTGGCTGTGTAAATGCAGACCCACTAGGGTTGTTCAAGAAGCCGACAGAACTATTTTTGCTCTGGTCGGTTGGGCTGCAAGCAGAACTGGTGCTTTCAGCCCGCGCCGCCCGTAGAGAGGGAGATACCTGACTCTTCATTTGTCTTGATGGCCTGGACAGACTGTTGAACGGACTGGCCCGGACAGACTGTTAGACAAACTGACTTAAATAGACTGTTGGACAGACTGACCGGGACAGACTGTTGTTGGACCTTACCATGCTAAACCTTCGGAACAAAAAATTCGGAGTCACACAATCATATGAGTTGCTAATGACTGCCGGTCTTGAAGTTTTGTGGGTCTTTGGCAAGTTTACACTACGCCAGCAGTAGGTATGTCATGTGTTGATGGATTCTTTAAACCCAAGTAACATACCGCGCGTGCATTGGTACAAACAAAAACGAATGTGGCCTATTGTGGTCCCAGGCGACATTTAGAATGAAACAAATTGTAACATAGCCTCTTAGATTACAAGCAAATATTGTAGTTTCTGGAGGCATGAAGAATTAAAATTTGAAGCTTGATTTGACATAACGATGGTTCATTAAAAGACTTAAATACGGGACAACAGCACAAAAGCATTGAGTTCCTTGACATCTATGTTGTCGGTGCACCTCTGCGCTTCCGCTAAGCACCGTCTTACACGTCCAATTTGCTCATCAAACTTTTTAAAGCGTGCCTAGACATTTGAAACCAACAGCTATGTTACCCACATTCAGCGCAGGCAAACGTAACAGAGTACACCTAACAGTTCAATTTACGCGTACGTTATATAAATGATGCATCGATCAGTGGGGAACAGCGGTAGATTGATTGCAGATGACGTCACTGGAATCTGATGGGATGGCCGAGGCCAACACTGTTGTCCGAAGTGAGGCCGAGGCCAATCGTGTTCCGCGAAGTTATCTCAGAGGGCTACTGTAGCGCTTTTAGAGCCAGTGGTTTACCGTTGTTTTCCGCTGATCGATGCACCAATCATTTCGTCATACAGATCTGAGTCCATAATACAAATTCACACTTGCTCACCCGTTGCGGTCCTTACCATTGCATTTGGTTCGCGCCGACGCGCTTTTGGCTAGCAACAGAAACCAGCGTTTGACAAGCAGGGCACCGAAATGGTCGCGTGACCTTGGACAGCTGCGCGGTTAACAACGGTGAAATGACGCCCGCCCGTGAACACGCGATCAGGCAACATTTTCTTCGTTGTCCATTTTCGCCCCATACCGAACAAGGCGCGGAGCTTATGAACACACGAGACCGAGACCAAGGTGTGAAATTTGCCAGTTCTCTTGTCTGGGCTGTGCGAAAATAAGTATGAGTCCAGCAGCTGGCTGCGATTGCGCAACCGCATCTCGGTAAATCGTGGATCTATCAGCTGATGACCGCCACCGGGCCGTTTGGCTCACGTCAGACCCACGTGACATTTCAATTGTTGGCATCAGGCGACATTTTATCGACGAAGCACTTGTGACCTTTTCTTTAGCGCTGCCTCGCTGGACCTGCTATGCATGTAATGGCGTACGTGATGATATGCAGTTAGACTGGAATGACTTGCAGTGCATGGTGCGCCGTTGGCTCGATTTTGCAGGCGTGCTGTATGGATTAAATGGAACCCATATACACTTGCATAAATGTTGCGACATACCTAAATGTCACTATTCAGTACCGTGCATGGTGTTAAAGGCACTTTTGCAGGGTGACATGCACCTGTGATCCGCGCCCGCAACCCGTCATAGTTCAGCTTGAAGCCACAAGATGGCCAGATTAAAGGAGTCTTCTTCAGACTCCAGTATTCCCTTCCCTCATAGGGAAAAAAACAGTGGGCGATCTCTTAAGAGACGCTCTCGTCTGTTCAGCCGCGGCAATAGTTCGGGCACGGCTGGAGGATTTTGTGCAGCTGGTTCGTTGCTGAGAGCCCCTATCTTTCGTCCTTCCGACGAGCACGACAGCGCTCGCTAGCTCGGCCAGCTGGGCTGACCGAGCTAGCGAGTCCGTTTGGTGGGGCTCAAGGTTGCGGTCGTCTCATTACCTGGGTGTGGGTGTCCGTGCAGCTCTGAAGTATCTGAACGAGGCCCTTTTCACATGCCTGGCCCGCTTCATTGAAACTTCATGGAACTTATTTTCCATACATATAACCGGTACATACATGGATGAAGCAGCTGCACTGAAGTCCAAATATTTATACATTGGTGTCATTGAAACGAAACCGCCCTCCTCGGGTTATTTTAAATTGGCAGTATAAAATGTCATATTAACTACTGCCTCCCCGGCCCTTAGCCGTTTTTAATGCTCTGTGTCGCCTAATCGCTTCCATCCGCATACCATACCACGGATGTCAGTACAACAATCGCACAATAACTAGCATCACCATGGGTGTATGCAGAAGTGACACTTGACTGCGAGCCTCACATCTGACGAAAACCTTCGATTGGCAAGCTCCAGGCCGACTTCTGTGAGCCCTGTTCTCCGCGGCCCCGGCCAGCCACCCTGACCACACAGCCTTCTGCCGTCCAGAACACTAAAACATGTATTCAGCCAGTCATACGATCCAATGATATAGCTGGATCCTTCGCAACCGAGTAACAGCGACAACGGAAGACAGCCAACTAGCTACAGGCGACTACACGACGCAAGCACTGTCACCGAGCTCACGCGGCCACGGCACAGACGGACACACAGGGCGCAGTCGTATCGATTCGCGTATGCGCCAGCAGTACTGCTGCGTAAACAGTTCTCAGTACGCAGGCGTTTATGCCATTCAAAACACATGGGGTGATATCGCACACTTGATTTGACAACACGAATTACACTGGGTCGAATCATGACGTTGGGCGCACGCCGAAAGCAATGCTGGGAACATTGAAATCTCTGGGGTCGTATAGGTGTGCTTCTCCGGGGACCTATGGGAGAGAAATCGTTTCACGGAAACACGGAGACGCACACCTTGTTCTGACTCCACACCCGATGTGCAAGACCACCCGTAACAAAAAACAGGTAGAAAGGCAAGCGGTAGAGTAAGTGCTGGGTTAGGGTAGTTGTAGGGTAAAAGTACAGAGGAGCTCGGCACCTGGTCTGCATTCTTCTAAGTACGACTGAGTACATCTGAGCCCGAATTCGCTTACGTCGGTCATTTGGCAGCATCTTCTACGGTCGATCTGCCAGGTCGGGGAGACAAAGTCGTGCCATTCTTCTGCCACTTCTTTTTATGCTCACGTATATCCGCACAGTAAAGCTGATACTAGTAAAACCATACCACCATTCGCTTCCTGTGGATAACATGCGAGGCCACCTGAGGTCATTCGATGACCTTCAGCATCCTTAGCCTTGCGGAAACCTTGCGCTTCCAGCCTTTGTATAGGACGATGGCACGGACACCACGCATGGGTCGAGTCTATGAACCTGATTGGAAGGCCATGTTCTGGTGCTTAGAAGATTTGTTGGGGAATTTCCTGGTCATTTTGTTCTGGTCTGGCAGCAGCCGTTTCCGCCGGTTGCTCCCATCCCTCTTCCGTCGTGAGGAGAGTTTCGGATAAGAAACACTGAACGAGCCCGTTTTTCTTATGCCCATATAGTACGCACATCTTTTTCGGCGCATCTTTCCACCCGATCATGATCAAGTGTCCTTGGCTCTGACTTCACGACTGACTTTGGCGCACCGGCCATACGCCCGCGTGACCAGTCCTCTGGCGTTCCCACGAGTGACGCTGATTCGACCATCACGTAAAACTACTGCGTCACAAAACAACGATCAAGTAACAACGTCACGTCTACAAACAACGTTCCGAGGTCCTCACAGCTGATGTGGAGACCACGCTTGAAACATCCACAATAAAAACGTTCGCGGACACTGCGGCGGTGGAAATTCGTGGGTAGAGGGCAGGAGCGGGGACAAAACGGAAACAACGGGAACACATCTTTTGTCGTGCACAACATGATCAGGTCGGTCATTCTTACGACACAACTATATACGGGCACGGTACCCTGATGCCTCCTAGGTTTGATTTGGTCCGTTTCGACCGGAGCTTGTTCGGCTGTGAGTGATGATTTCAGAGCTACGGAGGTACGGGGCGGAGTCAAGCGCAGGGTTGCTGACGGCGTAGGACCGCAGCCAACCTGGGCTATCTGGGTTGCCGAGAATTGGCCGGCATAGACACCCTATGCAGGCATGTTCGCAGACAGCCGGGTGGACCAGGCAGCCATGCTCACCCCTGGGTCAACTGGTGACTGCCAGCCGCCACATACTCCTAGAGTGTCAAGGCGTTGATAGAAGATAAAGCAACAAATAGATGTCAAAGGTTGAACATCTCCCTCCCATCCATTTAGTAAGCTCTGGGACAGCTGTATCCCGGCCCCTAACAGCTGTACCCCTGGCCCTAAACATTGGTTACCGCGAACTCCGTGGTCAAAATGTATGTGCGGGATGCAGAAGGCGTCGTTAATCCACGCTTACCAAGAAGCTCATCATTCCATTCTATCGATCACCGCCCTCAATCAGGTGCGCAGCTAAGATATATGACCTGGGTGAGGGGGACCACCAGGATTTGCAACGGGCGCTCAGATTATCAGGACCCAGTCCCTGCTCTGTTCACAGAACTGACGCAATCCGAACAGACCACTGACGCCGCAAACTCGAATGCGCACGGTGCCGAGTGGGTTAATGGACTGTTAATCTTGGTTCGCCCTGATGCCGAAAACAGTCGTCTCAGTTGCGTGCCGCACATGTCCATTCGGTCACCGTCTGACACTGGGTTGGTCGTTTGGCTGTTTGGATTAGAGGCCTTTCAGCCCGTCTTGGCCGCTTCAGGGCTATAGGATGAAGGAGAATGCACAACGGTGCGGCAAGACTACACACACCAGAGGATCCAACCAAGGCCTAGCCCGCGCAGGGAACCCTGGTGCGGGGTATGCACTCGGACGGAGACCACTAGCAGGCGACACTTCGGCCCACTCATGGCTGGCGCCTGTAGCCTACCCTAGGTGAATGGGGCATCGCGAGAATGCAGGATAAAGCGCGAAAGAGGATAAAAGGAGATGCCGCTGATACTGTGACTAATTTAGTGCTATTCGGCCGCGCAACATGCCACTGTCCATGTTAGTCAACAGGATACAGGATGTGCAGCCAGTTATTTCGTCATAACAAAACAGCGTCCAAGTGCTCACACCATCCTGGCTGCCCCCTGCCCCCAACGTTCCAAACTCAGTTAAGTCTGCCCCAGCCTCACGGCAAAGCCCTTGCCTCGGCGGCCGGCCCGACGAAGTACCGCTACCGCCACCTTTCGGGTATAGTCTACACTACAAGTCCAGATAGGTGACCTGCGTGGCCGTGATGGCACCACATGTGCTCAGCACCGACGCCATGATGACCACCATGGTGGTGGTGCCAGCGGCCGTTACGATCGAGCCCACGCAGAGGCTGAGCACGAACTGCGCCAGGAAGACCATGCTGGAGACGATGGCGACGTCGGTGCCCAAACCGCGCACCTGGGACGTCCTGACGTCGCTGCCCTCGGAGGCGGCGAACTGGAACGAGACCAAACGCAGGTCATGCTGACGGTATGCACGCACGGAGAGGTGCGCCGGTCGGTCACCAATGAGACTCACAAGCTTCGCATATGCAGTGCACGCATCTGGCTCAGGGGCATGTCCGCAGAGTAAGATCACGCGAGCTCGTTTGTCAGGAGAGAACGCTACAACTCTACACGAATAGTACGCGGGTTGTTTTACCTCACGTGCGTTAAGATCAAGTTATAAATCAATGATCGCGTGGGACGTTGAACTTACAAGAGCATGGATCTGGAAACCGATTGTGGGATTCAGACACATGTCGGGTCGGCCACAAAGCTCACTTTTCATTGTTTAAAAATTTAGTCAGCGTATTTTGATGGAATATTTTTTGGGATCGGAGCTGACACTGAGCAGTGCCTGTTGTGTGAACACTACCCCACAATCCGAATGTAATGTTACAGTACAACACACAGGCTTGTCAAAAAAATTTTGGTTCAGGGGACATCCCAACGATATAATGGATCCGAAATAAAGATTTGCCTAGCCTACCCCGAAACACCGATTTCTCATCGGATTTAGGGCACTTTATTCATTCATTCAGACACAAAACGACAAAAAAGATGCAGAGAGCTGCATCGATATGCAATGTAGCAGAATCGGGGCAATAAGCAATAGGTATCTGAACGAGGCTAGAGACATGAGCGGGCGGAGTCCAGAACTTACTGAACTCAATTAAGCGAGAAGCAGCACTACTCGCCGTACGCAATTTTGGCCACCAAAAGTTCTCAGTTTCTGCAACTAAATGTTAAGAGTCTATCTTTGATAATTTGCACCTGGGAATCAACTCCCCATGCACATTCTCAGAGTGCTAGACGTTGTATTATGCAGGTACTTGGAGTACGCTTATTTTCTCCAGAGTCTGGTGCATCCTCCCATTGTGAGGCTCTTTCGAAGAGTAGATGATCAAATAGATAAGAGTTGGCTGTTAAGCACCATCACAACCAAGCACGACACTTCATCACGAGATTGCCTGCCGCTGGCCGGCTTTCCGCTTGGTGACTAGCTGACCAGGGACCGGCGGCCAGCGGACTAGCTGACCAGCGACCGGCGGCCAGCCGACTAGCTGACCAGCGACCGGAACACCTTTCCACTGTTACGCTCCCGCCAGATACAAGGTATCTCTCATGAACGGCCAGAATATCAATTATCTTCAACTTGAGAAATTGTTGTCACCAGACATCGAACATCTAGAGCAAGAAAATCACCTTAAAATCTGGGAAAATTGCATTTTAATTTGTTCATGATGCGTTCCATTTTGTATACCATTTTCAACCTTTAGTGTTTTATGAGCTTTGAGTGTTTTATGAAAAACTTTCACAGCATTGCTTTATTAACACGCGCCCGGGTGGCCGGTTGGATACCCCTCGCACGGGTAGGAGGATCAATTTGACCCCAATGAGATCTCAGGAACTAAGGGGGCGGGAGACACTAAATTCACAGAGTGTATTGACATGTAGGTGAACTCACTAAGGTCCAAGTTTGAGGTTCCTAGGCTATGATCTTCGGGTCAGATAAGGTCCACCAACGTCAAACTCCAGGCTGATCTTCAAAGACCCTCGTTACCTAGATATCCGTTCTAAGCGAACAGTCACTTACTCATTCAAGGTCAATGACCTTGCTTGACCTTTCGAAGGTCATTGTGACAAAAATAATTCAAGATTGCTATGAGTTTTTCATTTGAATAAGCGACAAAGATTACACTAGGCATTAGGTTACTAAAACGTGGGTCATTTTAGGTCAGTGACCGATTTTGACCTTAAATAAGTCAATGGAAGATGCAAAACAAAGCTATGGTGATAACAGATTCGAAATGAGTACGATAAACTACCCCATACAGTAAGCCCTGAGTAGTACAGTAGGTTGGTTTTGACCTTGGTCTGACTTTCATACCTGACCCTAGGTCAATGGAATTTGTTTATTCAATTACTGTGTTGCCTAAAAAAGTATCTCAGAGATGTATGACTGTATCTAACGCTCAGTCGTTGCAACAGATTGAACAATTCCCCAGAAATTGATTTCGCTGAATCCATGGCCTGACTTGATCTGCCGTAGGTCGGTGACATCACAAACTACACATAAATTTCAGATACCAAACGGTGCGCTATTCAACTGCCTACAGCTATGCACCATTTGGCGTCGTTTCACCGCGCCGTTCGGAAACAACTCCGGAAAATCAAAACCTTCTGGGGGGTCAAATTGACCCCCCACCCAAGCGCGCGTCAAGAGTCATGGTGTTTCTTAAAAATATCGTGGTTCTTAAATGCGCTGCTGCATAAGTGGTGTTTGAAAAAGAGCGAGATATTGATTGCTGGTAGTCCTTATAATTACTTTCGTCATCTTCAAAACGTAACTGCTTGTGCTTTGGTAGTTACATCGACGTTCACCTAGCCGTTGCAAATACAACATAACAGACAAACTTGCTTCATTTGTAAAGTATTTTCTGAAGAAAGAATGCGTTCTGTGCGGATTAATAATCAAGCTGCCTGCCATGATCAGGTACTCTGCCTAGAACCATAGTGTAATGAAGTGTAATAATTCACAGGGTAACCACGTTTTGTTATGCGTGCTGAATATTGGGGGAAGTTGAAATATAAGGGAATGCCTCAACTTCCAAACCGCGTTATCTTTGTTGTTCTCTCAATCTTGCTATACCTAGCATATCTATTTCAACGCTGCATTGAAATGCCATTCGGAAGTCCCCACCGCTGATGCAACAGCGAATGAAAATAATGCAAATCAAAGTTAGACTTGCAGTCGACGGCATCAATTCCAATGGCGAACACAGGTTTCAACGCGGCCCAGATAACCAGCACCCCAGAAGAAAACTCAACGCCTAGCGCGATGCTTTCTTTTTTGCGGCAATTGCGCACATCGGCTGCATACTTTGGCACAAAAATACCGTATCAATTTAGCCGATGAAGTGCGAGGAGTGACACGAACAACTAAAGCTGCGTTTCAGGACAGAACACCCGCCAGATCTCGTTCCCCATCACCAGCCACATCTCGGCATCCTCCCATCTCGTTCCCCATCACCAGCCACATCTCGGCATCCTCCCGTCTCGTTCCCCATCACCAGCCACATCTCGGCATCCTCCCGTCTCGTTCCCCATCACCAGCCACATCTCGGCATCCTCCCATCTCGTTCCCCATCACCAGCCACATCTCGGCATCCTCCCGTCTCGTTCCCCATCACCAGCCACATCTCGGCATCCTCCCGTCTCGTTCCCCATCACCAGCCACATCTCGGCATCCTCCCGTCTCGTTCCCCATCACCAGCCACATCTCGGCATCCTCCCGTCTCGTTCCCCATCACCAGCCACATCTCGGCATCCTCCCATCTCGTTCCCCATCACCAGCCACATCTCGGCATTCCTCCCGCAGCGCACTTCGCAAGGCGCAAAGCAGAAACCGTTCGAACTTTGAGCACTGGGACAGTTCCGCAGCGCGCCGTGCGGCGGCGCCAGCAGTCAGGCGAGCCCCGCGGACTATCGGTGGCCAGATCCTTCGATTATCGAAGCCCCTTCGGCGCGGCCGAGCGCTGAATGTAACAGCCGTCGCAGCACCGCAGTCATCCAATAAGACGGCCCGGCCTGTCCGTTCAAGCGTCGCACTCAGGACTAAACGGTCCGAGGTGGGGACTGGCGCTGTCTGGGAGCGCGCGGGGCGCTGGGACGGAGTAAGACGGCCGGGGCGTGTGAGAACAAATATACAACGGCAAGCACCTCAACGGGAGGCGACAATATCTGTTCCAAAAATCAGCTGTTATCCACAACAACTAACAAGCAACGGGGAGATCAGCAGCGTCGTAGATATTTTTAACTCGTCTGAGTTCTAAGGTACTGTCATATTTTGAAGGATCAATACCTGACACTCGTCTGCCGTAAGGCTCACGCTAATAGCAAAGCTTCAGAATTGTGCAATACAAGCCGCGCAAGCCTTAGAAAGATGGGCATGTGACTGCAACCTTCGACGCATTTCACCTAACCACGGTAATTTTACAATGTAGTTTATCCCCTCACCCCCACCCAGTATTCATAAGGTGCCCGTGTGATTCTATTTGCAGTTGTCCATGACGAACTTAATGAAGGAAAACACGGCCGTGGCCACTACACGACAGTGGACTGCTTCCGTCTCCAGGTGGCTGTTGTGGCGCGGGCGCCTGGTGGTCGCCTGACTGTCGGACCCCTGTCGTGTCTCGTTAGGTGGACCATCGCCAGCTATGACGTGCATATGATGCAAGAGCGCGCCGCAGTGTCGAATGTCGCCGGTGCTGCATCTGGTTATGAAGACACGCTTGCTGATGCTGCATCTGGTTACGAACATATCCTTGGCTTGTAAAGCAAACACGACCGCACGGAGATAACAAATTGATTATACACAAGGTTTATTTATTGCTCTTGATGCTCCCCTGAACCAGAGCGAGTTCTGTGAATAGCTCGCAGGCACAGCCAGTACAGAGTCAGCGGAAGACGTCGGACTAACCACATACACAATGCGAGGGTAATGTGTTGAGGTCCGGCATAGTTCAGGGGTCAATGTTTGCTCAGACGGGCATGCAGCTCGAAATGTCCTACGAAGTACGGCGAACGAAGGGCATGCCTAATTGGGATTTAAATCTGCCAGCTGCACAGGCTTGCATGGCCAAGCCGAGTCTCCACCCATTCACTTTTAGTTGAAACAGTTAGCGGCGCCAGCAGTCGGGTGCACGGTCGTCTGGACCGATTGCTGTACAAAGTAACAACTACTTCACCTGTAATAACAATCGCATTCCGTATCGCTTAACTGTCCATACGTCATCGCCTTGCATGATGCCCCTTGACGCCGCCGGTACTCGGTAAGCATTCATTCACTCACTGAAACCCACTGAGGCTGTTACAAACATCTCATCAGGCAGTTTTAAGTACACACGTGTTTTGCCGTTGAATGTGCTTTTTTTTCAACCGCAGCATTGGAAA